ATGAACTTAAGGTAAGTAATATTAAATTAAAAAATTAATCATATTTGCTTTAATTAATAATACTTTCTATTATAGATGTTTATTAATAATTGGGCTTAAAAATTTATTAAAATATTTGCTCTATATTTATAAAGTAAGTTGTAATTACCAAAGCTTTATACCTGGTATTATTATTTAATACCTGCAATAAAAAAATATGGTATAATAAATAGTAGGACTATAGAGACCTATGAAACTTTTCACAAAACATATGTTAAAAATTCATACTGAATGTCTAATAAAAAAGATTATATAAGACAGATATTAAAAACAGTATAATTATGAATTTATCTTTTTTAATTTTTATTATTTATTATTAAAATTTAATAATTGATTGTTTTAGATTAAATAAAAGAAAAAAAACTCTTTTCTACTCCCTTTCTGCTCTTAAAAATTTTCTTTTTAGAAACTTTTGAGTTGTTTACTTTTTTTTTTTTCTATTTTTTTTTCTCTTCTCCTTTACTTTCTCTTCCTCAGATCTTTTTATTCTCTCTTTCCTATTTTCACTCCTTCTTTCTATATACTTTTTTATGTAAAACTCACATCTTCCCTGCCGAAGTTAGATTTTTTCTTCTTTCTGAAGGTTTCTTTCTAGGCCTCTTTTTTTAATATAAAACTTGCCCTCTATAATATCAACCTTCTGATCAGTTGACTTTCTTTTCTCAAGACTATATTCAGAAGTGGTAACTTCTCTTAAAACAGAAGTTTCAGAATTTTTCTCTCTTCCATGGCCTTACAGAAAAAGAATGAATAGTTTACCCTCTTTAAAAGATTGATATGGTTATCATTATCAAATCTGGTATTGTTTACTTGTTAATGATTAAACTAGATATATCTAAGAAACTGATATACAACTATTATTATCTGAAAGTATCCAAGGAGTTGCACTCTACTGTATTCAGAAGAATATAGTAGCCAATGCCAATGCAGCTAACAATGAGCTAGGTTGGTTTTCAGGTCTCATGCTGGTGATCAAAGAAACCTAGTAAGATAATATATAAAGACCAGTGATTCTAATTACCTCAAAATACAAGCTGATGACAACAATAAAAGTTTCTCGCTCACCTCTCTGACAATATAGGCTTATTATACAAGTTTAGATAACAACATTTATAAGAAACTTTAATTCTATTACATTTGACAACTTTCCTTAACAATCAATACTACATATTCAAACACTTCTCTTTCACCTCTCCTTGCCTTATACTTGTGCTGGATTCTACTCAAATACTTAAATAGTGTAGCTATATGTGCAAAGTTTCTTGTAAAGAGTAGTTGTCCCCTTTCCTACTTGCCACAAGTATAGGCAACTGCCACAGGCTTAGGTAACCTGTGATCTACTGCAATCCTAGAAGGGTAGAGAAGATCAAATACTAGATGATTAGATGAAAGACTAATTTCTACTAGATGTCCAAGCCAGGATAGTAATTACTTAACTAATTGAGCAAGGTATTCAAATAAAGCATAAAGTAGAATATATTCAGCTTACCATATATTAAGTCACATTTGGAAAGCAAGCTTGCTAATTCTAGTCATGACTTGGAGGTCAACCTGTATATAGTGGCTACAATATCTTCATGTGATTAGGTATCCAATTTTCTAGGTAGTTAAATACTATTTGAGACATAATATAGGTTTTGAACTTTCTTTTTCTATATTCTTGGGTAGTGACAAGGAGCATAGAGGATGGATTATGTTTGTGGAGCCTTGTATTTAACTCTTTTTAGCAAAGAGAAATGTGTGTTATATTGTAAATGTGTTATAAATCTTATACTGCAAGTCTAAAATTATAATTATAAAATAAAGTCTAATAGTCTTTTGCTTCTTCAAAAAAAAAAAAGATTAAATAAAAGAAATTGACAGAAAGTAAAGCTTCTAAAAAATATTAACAAATTATAGAATTTCATAAATCTTTGTAGATATTAAAATTGGAAGATTTAAATCACTTTATATAGAAAAATAAAGATAATTTGAATTTGTTACAAATTGAGAGATTTAATAACTTAATAACAAGTCTTGATAAATTTCTTGAAGAAGAATTGATCAATTCTATTGATAAAAATTATTAATTAGAAATATTTTCTTCAACAATATTGAAAAATAATAATATTATCCATTTCTTATCAAATTTCTAGAAGAAATCATTTTTTTAAATGTGGTTTTAAGTAGAAAAAAAGAAGATAAAGAAATTAATTGGTATGGTTTGGTAAGCAATTAAATTTAAATTAAATTAATATCAAATAATAAAAATTATTATATTAAGTTAATATTTTATTTAAATAATGTTGATATTCAAATTTTATAAATCTGAAGATAGCAAACTATTTAAACTTATTCATATTCATTGATATCAAGAAGAGAATAAATTGTAGAGATATCAAAAATTAGAATTACTTGAACAATATAGTTGTATATTGATAGATAGTATTGATAAAAGTGTACATATAGTTTCAAGATTTGATAAAACAAATGAATATTTAGTAAATAATTATATATTTTAATTTTAATCTATCAAATCAAATCAAATTGATTACTATTCAAATTAATTATAATTTTTAATAATGATACATAACATTATTTGTTAAAAATCAAAACCTATTTATCAAATAAAATATGATTATTATCAATATTAATATATATTGATTTTAAACAATTTTTTTTTAATATTAATTGATATAATTCACTACTATTAATACATATCAATTAATTATAATTGATTACTAGTCATTATTGGTTGATTATCGATAAATAACTTTCTAAAAAATTTCCTGATGATCTTAATGGCCAATTAAACTCTAATATTCTAATTTAACAAGAATCAAACTAGTATTAACTTGTTAGAAATAATAACAAAAACAATAATGCATAAAAACATATCAAAAACCTATTAAATCAAGATTAATTTTCTGAAAATATTTTATATTAAAAAAACATTACTATCTATCTTAACTTAACTGTTTATAAATAGGTATAAGCTATTAATATCACTTTTGATAACATTATCTACTTGATATAATACTACATTAAAAGTTATATATGCAATATGCTAACACTAACTTAAATAAATATTTAATATAATGACAAAATTAATATTTAATTAATAAAGTATCATGTTTTATATTTATTCACAATTTCAAAAAATGATTAAAACTACAAAACAAAAGAAAATAATGAAACTTGTCAAAAAATATAGATAAGAAAAAAAAAGACTTATTAATACAAGATTTGATTAAATTAAATTGTATGCTTTATATAAAGAAGAAGATTAAAACTTATTTAATGTGATACAAAATTTGCTTCAAAGAAGCAATAAACTTATTGAAAGAGACTTCAATACCAAAATAGTTATAAAATTATCAAATATTTATTGCACTATGCTTTATATTCTTTCTTTTATATCATTTTTTCTAAATAATACAAGTTTCAGTCCTTTTTAGTAACTTCCAGAATGATCTTCTCATAACAATATTACCTTTAAAAAGATAAGTTAATTAGCAATTTCCTTTTTAGACATGTTTATTATACTATTACTTATAACAATTTTTAATTAATATTCTAAGTTTAATAGAATGAATTATAATCTATATTTTAAATTTACTATAAATCAGTATCATTTTAATATTAGTTTAAAACTCCAGTTTAAATATCTAATTTAGTATATAACTGACTAACAGCTTGTAAAAGGCAATACTGACTTTTTTTAAAAAAAATAATTGTGAATTGCATAACATAAATCATTTGTAATCATATTATAATAAACAATTATTTGTACTTGTGCAATAATAATAATAAATTTATTTTATTTGATATATGTCACTCTAAAAGAATTTAGAAAGACCATAAAGACTTGTGATAGAAGAATTAAATGTAAAGACCATAAGAGAAGGGAAGTTAACTTACATAAGTACTTTGGTATTGCAAGTGATAGAGATCCACTTACTCGTTATTTATATGAGTCTTTGTCCAGATTGGTTACAGGCTTGCTGGTGCAGATAAAATATATAAAGTTGCAAGATTACACGTATTTGGTGGTCTGACATAAAATACAAGTTTTACCTCATCCTTGAAAATTTTTCGAAAAGCATTAAATCATTATCATAAACATCTCTAACAATGCATGAATAATAAAAAGATGGAAAGAGCCATAATCCAGTCCTACATCTCTCATTTAAAATTTCTTCCGACACATTCTATTTACTACAGAGATGATAAGGCCTAAAGGCATTATATACAACTCCTTTTATATGCACAAAGTCGTCACTACATTCTCATCAGGACAAATTCTGGCCTGCATATAACTTATATACTGTAATTCCTGCCAAAGATTAATCCCCTTTAAGTCATAGTTATTAATTCTAAACATACTTTTTTTTTTTGGCTAAAATATCGATACGTAAATTTCAATGCCAAACGCTTTTGAGACACAAATGTGTTTTTTTCAGTGATACCACGTTTTACATGCCATGATTTTTCTTTTCTTTCCACTGGACAAATCTCAATGTCTCCTTTTAAATAATTGGCATGATCTAACCTTGGTCTCGTTTTACTAATCCAGGATAATTAACGTCAATCTTACATTTTCGAAAAACTCATTCAAGATGTACATAAAATAATACTGTCCACTTTTATCCCCAGCATATAGCATGTTTCCATGTTTCTGCAATTCTTCAGTACACTACAAGAACAAAGCACAACCATAATCTGATTTAGTACACTGCAAGAACAAAGTACTATCATGATCTGATTTCTTTTTAATTTCTTATGCAGATCTCGAAGTGTGGAAGAGTAGATCCCAAACTAATAACATGTCACAGCACTAGCTTCTGAATATCGTTTACTGTAAGTCCGCAAAGAGTTTCCCTTTCTGAAAGTCGCCTTAGGGTGGTTTTAATCATTTTCGAGAGCAATTTCTGTATTGCAAAATGCCCACTTAAATCGATTCAAGCGTAGAAAATCCTCTATACTATAGATACGAAATGCATAATACAGTTTAGGGCCATTAGAGTATAGACTAATCGCCATTGTAAATTCTTTGGACACAAAGTGCTCATTTCCACGGATACGGAAGCAATCGGCTGTCATTGTTCCTGGGCAACTAGAAGACCATTTTAGTTCCTTAAATAAACCATCTATGATAATTATACAATTGTGGTTGTCCGAACTTGTCGCCGTGTCGAAATCAACAGCAACCTTATATAATACGGATTTCTTATTATAAGTTTGGTGCCACATAGGTAGGTACTTTGAAGAATCATTGATACGAATATATTCGCGAGGAATAGTAGACTGTGAAATTCAATTGTATAAAGAAAGTTGTTTAAAATTACCCTCCGGAACTTCTACAATAGTTGAGAAGGCATTTAATTTAATACATCTTGAAATCACTCGGCACAAAAAAATTTTCAAAAGTGTACTTTATCCACCTGCAGGTTTGAGATAGAAATTTGATTCCTCGGCAAAAGCTCGACATTTATGATTATTTATTGACTTACTGTGCTACTTACCACATGATGTTTATTATGTAATTATTTATTCCCTGCTTATACTTTGCTCAAAGTTACTACTCATCATGTGAGATTTTGAATGAGCTTTTCCGGTTGATTTAATTAGCTGGTATGCTGTTGTCACCGGAGTGTTACTCAAAGACAAAAGGTTAGGCCTGTTTTTCTTTACGCACAATTACAAGTTTATTTATTTGATTGCGTCATTTTTGACATTTTTCTATCAAAATTACGCGACGCGTTACCAAGTCACGTGCCGGCATTATTTTGCAATATAAAATTAAAAAATAATGAATGTTTTAGCAAAATTTAAATTGTCATAATATATTCGCTTATTAAAAGTTGCAGTATGTTGAGAAAATAATTAGGTTGGGAACTCGACAATCGTGACGCGTCGCGTACTAATGGGAATACTGTAATAATTATAATAGCATTTATATGAGTAAACGCGTCGATACTGCCTATAAAGAAGGTAGTTTTATAGAGCTTAGGGTGATCGGCTAAGAAATTTAGTTTTGGAAATCTCTTCTATTCTTGGATGTCGCGATAATAAAGGGCATTAGTTAAAAGAAACTGTGATAATCTTTGTTCCATGAAGAGACATTTATTTATGATTAAATAATTGTTTAAGCTTTTTGTAAATATTAGTGCAAGAAATATTTATTTTATCGCACATAATCTTATTTGTAAAATATAAATTGAGGCTTGAGATATTTTTAGAATTGAAAAAGAACAACAATAAAAATACCTTTTATCAAATACTCAGCTCATTACCTAATACTTTCACTTAACTCATGCCATATCGACGTTACACGATCGGAAATCGTGACGTAGCGACAGACTTGCCGATCACACCCCATAACAGTATCATTGCATTGATTTTTTGGAATATTTAGAATTTCGTGCATGAAATTACATTAGTCTCGTATAATTAAAAAACAATTATATTAATATTTAAATAAAGTTTATATGATATTTAAAAAATTGTACTATATTATGATTGAAGTTTCATGGAATGTGAAATATGAATATTTGATTTGTGTTTCTTTCATTTTTATTAACATATACTGTATATTAAGTATATATGGTGAATTTTATAAACGATCCTTTAAAACCATTTAAAAGTTTATTTCGTATAAACTATACATTATTGAAAATCAATTATTACCTGCATACTTGTTTTTTAATTAGATACAGTACGCTAATTATTTTAAATATTGATTTTTAAATTAAAAACCATTATTATTTCTTTGATAGCATGGATTTTATTATATTTATCAAATCTTTATAATGTAATAATAATAATATGGGTTGGTGCACAGCAAAACCACGCTTTGAGACAAAATCCTTATTTGGATATATCGAAGATTATCAATTTAAAATTATATATCGAACCATACAATGTTAAAAAAACTGCGTGTGAGATTGTGCCAAATTATAATATATTAATATATGACCAAACTTTATCACATTCTTGGGAATATAATCCACTAATAATCTCAATTTTTGTTATAACCTTTCAAAGCATGTTTTGATGCGTACCAACTCATATCTTTTTACAAGAATATAAAATTTGTTTAATAGCTAATAAAAATTAATATCTAACTATTATTGGTTCGACATAGACACCATGTTTAAATTCTTTTCGGAATTAAATTTTTTCGGATACGTATATGCTAAATAAAAAAATTTTTTATGTATCTTTTATATAATTTTATTTTTAAAAAATATACCATTGTTTTTTATAATAATTAACAAATATATTTGTTATAATAAGAGTAAATTAACGATATAAATAACCTTATATCATTATATTTTGACAGCGATGATCTTGAAAATACTTTATTTTGTTTTACAAACAAAAAGAACCACATCACATGCCTTTATTTAATAGAATAATAGTTGGAGTTAAATTGAATTTGGTCGGTTCTTTATGACAAAGAAATAAAAACAAACATATGCCGCTTGTTAGGAAATTCATTTTCATGATAACTACCGGAGTTACCAAATATTGGCGTAAGTTCTGCACGTTGCGCTAACGTTTGGTTACATTTACATTAGCCATGACATGTTGAATAACGATATAATGTATGCCAAGAGATATTAAATAATTTAGGCTTTGATTCATTTTATTTTTTCTCACGTTGATATTAATCCGTAGAGAAGGAATAAACGTATATGTACTGTATACAGTATATAAAGTTACAATAGAATTGTGATACACTACTATGAGCTATCCATCAGTTGTCATTGTACATATCCAGTCAAGTAAAATTGCTTCTTTCGATTGTTACACGAAACGTTCGACCGAGAAGTGGAGATTCGTCATTCCACCCCAAACGAAATTACATGTCATTGTCAGTTTTATACTGATTATCTTTTAATCTTAAAGTTTGTCCTCGATTCGTTAGAATGGTTCTCCGGGCTTCGGTTTTGCAACACCGTAACAATGGGGTTTACGTGAAATATACAGTATAGGTTAAATTGAATTTTGAGATTAAAATTTTATGAAAATTGTAGATACTGTATATAATTTTATATTGAAAATTAAAAATAACCTTCACAAAATATTATAAATAGACAAAAATTATCTCGTTTTTAATTGATAAATGTAGAAAATGGATAAGTTTGAACGCTTACAATTTTCAATGAATCTTACAATTTTAACAACTAATTTAACTAATTAAGTGAAAAACAAAAAAAAAATTTTTTTTTGTTCATGCATATTATTTTGTCATTCTAGAAATAGTTCTTCATTAAAGAAGCAGTAACAAGTTTTGGAAAATATTTTTTCCGTAAAATACAATCGTTTTCTACCGGGTTTGCTTCTTTTTTTTTACGAGTGAATGATACAACACGAAGCAAATAGAAATCCCATTTTGAGCGTTATTGTACAGATTATGGTACATGTGACGTTCTCAATCTATTTTCTAGCTCTCGAGGAAAGGATATTTAAAAGATCGCGTTTTCCTTGCATTTATCGTTGACCGATATTATGGTTTCTCAAGTATATTATTTAATGAACAAAGTTTATTTATATATTGTTGGGGGTGATAACGGCGAGTCTGTCGCTACGTCGCGATCGCCGATCGTGTAACGTCGAAAGAGGCGTGGA